CAATAAATGCTCTCAGGCCTTCACGTTATCCAAACCTATGCTAGAGAAGAGGATAGACAGCTGCCTCTTATCTGCGGTGTCTAGTCAGTTGTCAGAGGAATGCACGCCAAGCAAACTAGTCTTCCTAACTTCTCAGGTTTTTGGCGGCGCAATAGGAAAAGACGATTTTTGTGGTAGACAAATTATGGTCTTTTAACAGCCCATTCGAATATACTTTAATCAACCAGCAGAGCTTTATTATATTTTCAAAAACAGAACAAACATAACAACAACATCTTATTAACAACAACAAGAAAACAAGATCTTACTTGAGTTTCGACAACAGTAACAATGAAGCATTGACAACGATGTCATTAACAATGAGATCAATGGAAGGAGAACGCTCAGAACTGAGCTGAGAACTGTGCGACTGACTCTGAAAGCTGCACGCTGGACTGTTCCTCGATTCTTCAAACGTCATCTGACTGCTGGTACTTGCACCATCATCCTCATTACTGAGAGCTTCTCTCTATAACAAAGAACTGGTGTTCTAGCTTTTATAAGAGCTTGAGAAAATTAGGCTGTTGCAATATGGATGTCACGCGTTTCGTTTTTATGGAGCTCTGGGGCTTGGCGGTGTTATTTCACTCGTGAGAGAGAGGAAATTCTGGAGTATCTAGATATCCAATCCAACTTGAGCTGCACTGTTTTTAGATAATAAATTCTTAGTATAAGTGAATTGAATTTTCGACTCTCTCAGTGCAAGTGAATTGAAATTTTCGACTCCGATTACTCAACGGTTGTTCATCCTGCCTGAGTAATCGCAGCTTCCACAAGCCTTCAGACGGAACGCAATACTCTAGCGTCAAGCGGTTCCAGCATTTTTGAGAAGAAAACAAAAATCTCGAAGAAAAGCTCTGCTGAATAGGCGCTCTAAAAAATAATCAAATTAGATCCTGTGTAGGACAGAAGGGCGACGTTCAAGGTTTACACTGATTCCCAACATTTGCATGCAATGGGCAAGAGGAATCCCGCATGGATAACTGAATTGAAGTGATATTCATATTTCAACAACCTAATACATCTTTATGCCACGAGAGCAAAGGCCTTTTGACAAAACTTTTGAGATGAATTATCGGAAATAACCCTACCGAAGAACGCAGGAGGTAAGCCAGTCCTTTTTCGAACTGATCCAATTCACTATTGACCGCATCAATAGTTCTGTTTCGTAGTATCTTAGTGGCCTCCATGATTTCGTCGTATGCGCCACATCTACAAAAGGTCGGTGAAGAGCGGCTGTCGCTCCTGATTTCCATATTTTCCGAACCATCTACACTGCCCTCATCGTCGACGTCGAGATCCATGTCTGAATATTAACCTATGAAAAAAAAACACTCGTAAAAGGTGTACGGTTCCAAAAATTCAAAATAGAGAGAAACTCGTCGACATCTCCGCTGAACATCTTTTCCGAAAGATAATGGCGCTAACACAAGCCTAGGGCCTAATGTAATAGTTAGCGCTATCCGACAATGACCCCAACTTGGGCAATGAAGCAGCCTCTCTACTCACCTTCGAACAGCAAACCAAACCTGTGATAGTATTGAGTCCAGAACACTTCTGGCCTTACTAGAGGGTATTCCTACTCAAAGAATTCCGATTTAGAGAGCTTTTGGTTGGGTAATCATCTGGGCTCATGCAGATAAGAACAAAGCAAGTTCTGAAAATGGAAATGTTTGTCGCGGTTTTAATGCCTTGTAACTTCGTATAATGTATGTCAATACGCTTGAAGCCTACGAACATATCATTGGGCTCCAGAAGCGGCATGGCCTCGGGGGAAAGGGAGGGCATGCAGATGAATGGTGAGTGTGGTCACTAGGACAATTCGAATATTTGCGCAACGGAAAACATTTTCGGGTCTATTCCAGTTAGGGGGGGCATCATGGTGCGGTGACTCCCAAAAAGCTACGGTAACTCTGAGCCAGGGGGAGTGTAGCCAGCCTAGGGGGTGGGGGTGAGGGCAGTCACTTGACATGCGTGAGAAGCTGGAATGTTCGAGTTTACATTAGCTCGCCGAGAAACTGCATCATGATGCCCCCCTAACTGGAATAGACCCCCGGAACCTCAAATACCGCTGTTGACGCCCTGACCTGGAGCCCCGTAGAGAAAAATGTTGGGAAACGCCAAAGGCGCTTTCTGTCTACATTAGTAACCACCCGGGCATTCAAAACAGGGCATTCAAAAGCAGCGAGGGGGCGGGTGACCAGGACTAGGGCGAGAAGGAAACACGAGGGAGAAGAAAAAGTACTAAATTCCTACTTCAGATTCTCGAAAACGAGGCAAATCCCGTGCCTTCCTAGCGCATCTAACCGCAAATCACTCCCTGAGGCCGGATCCCCTCCTTTGGGATCGCCCCCCCCCCCCGCAACCGACGATGAGCGCCGGTGCGGATTTCATCAATAAGCACGAAATGGAGGGCCTTCTTCTTTGGCTATACGAAGTTATTACGGAAACAAAAAGCACCGGTTTTAAGATCTAGAGATAATTTCGCGAACCATCCATTTCTTGCATAATGAAGAGTTAAGAGTCTAGCAACTATACCAAATTCATGATGGTGTACGGACAAGAATATTATGAACCGTTATCGTGTCTGTTTTGACCATAAACAAACCTCAAGGTGTCTAAGTAGATATCCTCTCCCGAAATCTCATAGGGTAACTGGAAATTGCCAATAAGTGTGGCACAGGATTTAGAAAGACAGCTCCTGGCCATAATAGAAAAGACGATTCAAATGCTACCGAAGTCCTGACGGTGAAAGCCCAGCTGATTTTAAAGCGAAGAGCAGTGAAGAAGCTGAAAAAAGAAGCTCCGCCTCTACAACCGAGAACGTACATTTATCCGTTCGGGACCCATGCACCTTTTCGTTGAATACTCAGCTAAGTGGAAGGCAAATTCTTTACGATATTAGAATTCTTTTTGGATACGGTGGTCCTAATTTCGGTTTTCATCGTTTTTCTTTTACAATTGTCATTGAAAGTATCTGAGTTTCTTATTTGATGAGTTCTTCACTCCTACTTTCTGTGTCCGCAATACTTAATTTGGCTTGTTTCGTGCTGATCAGTGGTTTTGGTCGCCGTTCCGTCTTGTTGATTCACGATTTCCCATGCTTTTCTTTTGCATTTTCGAGAAATATCTTTGATCTATTAGTTGCTTAGGGTTTCATTCAGTAAGGGGATGTGTGTGGCAGTTACCGCCTCCAACGGTTGCACAAGTGTAGGAAATCCCTCGCTCTAGGTGAACTATGTTGCCGCTTATACATGAATTTGTCAGGGAAAAATCAGCTTATTTTACTCGAACACTAACTATCCTTTTTGTTGGATCGCCGTGCTGCAATGATTCAAAAATGACTGCTTTCTTTACAGTAGGGTTGGTGTTTAGTAGCTGTCTCTTTTGTGAATGAATGATTTCCTCTTATTAACATAACTACTTGAACAGCCTTTATGTATGGTTTCAAAATCTCTGGATCGCCTTTGCAGGTATAATATGACGGCCGTCGTCTGTCACCGTTTATATGAACGTACGAGGGCTACAGGAAACTCAAATCAAGCTTCCGTACGTATTTCGTGCTCCTGTTAGACCTGATGTCGTAAGCTTCATTCACGACCAAATGTTCCGCAACAAACGTCAAGCCCATGCCGTTTCAACACTTGCTGGTTAGTTCGAAATTCTTTCATCCTTACTCCTTTCTTGTTTTTTTCGCTTAATATAGAGAATGTTTTTGAACGCTTAGCTTTCCATGTTTTTGTTTTCGTTTCACTTTCACATCAATTTGCAAACGAAAGACTAAGTTGCATTTGCTACTTCCAGGTAATTTCGAGGTAGCAAAGTGGGAATCACTTTGTAGGTAGCGTTAGCTGGTGTCAGAGTCCGCGATCCGTCGCAGGTTTCGCTGATTTTCGCGATTTGCGCGATTCACGCGACGGGTCACGGAAATCACAAGTGCCCGATCAATACTGCAAGGTGTTCTCCAATCCTGCCGCCACTTCTGCTTGATAGTGATGGCTGAATGACGACTGCTCATGATTCCACTTGTTTCATATTCAGTGTTTCAAATGTTCACACACTTGCAATTTTTGCGATCCGTCGCGGAATCGCGCAAATCGCAAATCGCGAAAATCAGCGAAACCTGCGACGGATCGCGGACTCTGACACCAGCCTTACCTTTTAACAAATCCTCATTGGATTTTTTGTTGTCACATCATAGGGAACATGGCCTCTATAGCAAATCAGTGTAAAGCGCGTTGCAATACCTAGTTCGTCAACATTCTATGGTAAGGCGAAGCGTGGTATTGGTAAGTATTGGACTCTGCTTTTAACCGCTTCCGAGTACAAAGGTGTCGTAGGAGCAGGACTACGTATTTACAGGTGCCATCATTAAGTATGGGAAACGTCATTTTTGGCCCCAATGTAACTGTTCGTTGTCCATACCGAATACTTACGTCGGCAAGCGTAAGAGAATGTTCGAGGGTATTGCCGAGATGATATGGGGAACTGTTTTCAAGGCTACCCTTCTTTTCTCGTCAGTCGAGAAGAGAAGCCCAAAAGAATGCCAGCACTCAGCACACATGGGTGCACATCTAACTTTAACACCAAATTCCCTTTCCTAAATTGTATCAAACTTGTGGGTGTGTTTTCTGTTCTTACATACTCCATTAGACTGGTAGCCATTATGGCTGGGCCATCAAGAATCCGAGACCACCATCTTGACAATAAATTTAATAATTTTATGGGACGAATGCCTTTTGACTCTTGTGGGCGATTATTTGCTGTTATATAAGGTTACGGGGCAATGGTCAACCAACAGTGAGAGTCCAGACAGAAAAGCACATACTTTGTGCTTTTCTGGACTAAGCCTTTTGAAGGAAGGAAAGAAAGCAGAGATGCTGTAATAGTGTGCATATGCGAGAGTGCCCAGAGAACACTACAAAACGCTGAATCACCAAGGTTTTCCGGTTGACCGCTGCCCTTGGATGGTTATCCATGTGCTGGTATGCCTTTCACGTTACCTCATTTTATTTAAGTTCAAACCCACGTAAAAAGATCGGCCTTTTCTGCACACGAGCGAG